TAAAAAAAAAAAAAAAAAAAAGAAATAGCAAGAAAAAGAATTTTAATTTATTCATCAACTTTTGACTATGCTGTAAAATTATCTTTTAAGTTGGAGCTCTACTGAATAAAGAACAAAATGAGATTTTTATTTCTATAGGGGCTAATATATTATTAGACAAAAGTCAAATGAATTGTAAAATTGCTCAATTTATCCTTAATTTATACTTATCTTTTATGTTGTTGTTGTTCTTTGATAATTAAATACTTTATTTGTGAAATGACAGAATAAGAATATTACAATTATACGTTACTGAAGCACTGTAGCAAATGTAAGATTGTCAATTCTAACAATTATCTCTCGTAGACTTTTACTTTTTTTTCTATTCAAGTTTTTAATTTTAGTTTAGTGTTGTTAGTATTTTTTTTTTACATGGCATCTTGGAATGAGAATTGGTCGAATATTGGTTATTCTTATTTTGGTGATCCCTGTCCATATTACGGAGGACCACACTTGTGGCAAAATTGTGAATCTCAATCTTATGAGTGGAATTTTTGTAATGTGTGTGGTTGTCAAGGTAGCCATTGGGATGATTGTCCTGATTCTTTTTATCCTTCTTTGAGCCCTTATTATGATATTTTTAATAATGTTTATAATTTGATAGGAGCAATGAAATGGAGGATGTAGAGCGTGTTGCCCGTATTATGGACATGATGAGGCAAGTAGCCGAGCAACAAGATGAAAATCAAAAGGTTATACAAAGAATTAGTGCAACAATCACGAGAATGAAGGTTGAGGCAGACGAAATGGCTAAAGAGAGCGAGTTCCCGCCAGAAGATAATCCTGAAGAAGCAGATATAGTGAGCCAATCTTGGCTAGAGGAACAAACTCAACTGATAAAATCTCATGAGTTTCTTCGTGATGGTCTTTCAAATATGACAGAACACCTGATATAAGAAAGAACTGAGTTCAGGCAAGAGATAGACCAATTTGGCTCAGATATCCATGACATGCAGGCTAAATTGAATAAAAAGGTTGAGGCGTCTGATGCCCTACAACCACGACAACCAATTGTTATGGATACTGGCCAGCTTGTGGAGCAGAAATAGGAATTTCAACTATTCGACCAAAATATTACTAATGATGCCGAGGTTAAGGAAATGTGCAAAAGTGAAGATGTTAAAAGTAAAGCGTTTTTAGAGTTTGAGCGTATTGATCTCATTCTAAATACTTTTCAACATTGTGCTTGGTTGGTGATACGAGAATTGATCCATTCGAGTATATGGAGGAGTCAATGGATGAGGAACAAAGTGCATATATTCTGAAATTTGTGATGCCAAGGAGACAAAATGACATCCCTCACTTAAAGGCCAAGAAATGCAAGATGCGATATCTATTGCTTGGTTCCTTTATTTTCACACCACCGCCCCAAGAACGTGACAGAAAAATTGATGCAAAATTTGGGCCGCAATTCATATTCTCATAGTGGAACGAAAAGTGATGAAAGTGATGGGGTCGTGCTGCGACTTTAAATCAAGCGCTTGTTGGGAGGCAACCCAATTCTATTTTTTTCTTTTTACTTTTGTTTATTTTTTTATTGTGTTATCTGTGTAGTGTTGTTTTTGTATTTTGTAGGAGTAGGAGCACGAGGTCAAAGCTAATAGGAAGTATGCAAAAGCGAGTAGGTGATTGAAACTAAGTGTGTGGTACCCACACAAAGGATCATACCTGAGAGAAGTCTGAGGATCCCGCGAGCTGCTAATTCTTTGGCCTTTGGTCTACCAGGGAGTCTATTTTACCCTTTTGTTATTTACAGTGTGCATTGAGGACATTGCACAATTAAGTGTGGGGTGAGGAGATTGTCTCGGTGATTTTCTGTGCTATCCTAGCTTAATTGTAGTATTCTTTCTTAGTATAGTGATATTTATAATTAAAAAAACAAAAAAATAAACATAAAACAAAAAAAAAAGGCATAAAGTATGCATATTTATATGTATATCACCTCGCATTTTACTCATATTACGTGAGTTTTGTATGTGTAATGCAGTGATTTATTCTAATTCGTGGTGTTTTATGTGTAGGAGTCGAGTGGAAGTAATTTGGAAAATTGACGTGCAAATTAAAGTAAAAACGGAAAAATTTGGAGGAAGTACTAGTTTGGTGTCTAGGTTGGCGCTAGGCACTAACCAAAACGCTATTTACAGAATACCAAAAAGTTTGCTTTCTAGGTTGGTGCCATGCATCAAGCGAGACGCCAAAAGGCATATTTTGTCCTAATTCGGATGGGACTTGTGATTTCAACCCTACACGCCCCCAACATGTATTAAAGGGGTTTTAAACCTATTTTGGGGGGGGGGGGNGGGAGCAAGGATTCTCACTTTTTCTTCATCTTTCTTAGTAGTTTCAATTATTCAAATACTTGTGAATTTATTTTGATACTATCATGAGTGGCTAAAAGTCATAGTTCTGGGGTTGTGATTTAGCTATAAATATTGTTGTTTAAAGTTGACTTAACCTTAATTACAATTTACCAATATATGATTGTTTCTTCAATTCTGTAAATAACTACTTAATTGTCTAGCCAGCAGTTAGGTTCTATTTACTAACTATGCTATGCTTGGGAAAGCCATGTTTAGATTAGAGAAGAATTGAAGATAGCACGATTTTAACTCTGAGGGGGCGGATTTGTGGCTAGGATAGGAATATACCTAGTCACCGTGCTTAATTAAATATTGTAATCCTAATGCATTCTCAATAAATTGATTTCATAGAAATATAGGCGTTAATCTATTTTGAATAGGCGAGTAGTACTTCGGGAGAAAGTTACGAGAGCAATTGTTCGATTAATTAGCAACCATGAGTGAATTGTATAAAAGGGAGAGTTAACTAGAACACGATAGGATTGGTGAATCGATCACAACCCTGAAATATTCGTCTCTACTGAATACACAACAATCATTTTGCTGATTGATAATTAGTTACTAGTTAGAATTATTGTTTAGTATAATCACACTTTTGAACTCTGAGTGACTCGACTAAATAATAATCTTGGTGAATTTAGTGGGTAGTTAATACAAGTCTCTGTGGGTTTGACACTTGACTTATCATTTTATTACTTAAATTCAATATTCAAGTCCCCGACAATATTCAAGTCCCCGGTAAAGGCGCCAAAAACTTATTACTTGTACGATCATGTATAATTGCATGTGCGTTTGGGAGCAACAAGTTTTTGGCGCAGTTGTCGGGGACTTGAATATTGACTACTTTCTAGTTTTAGCTATAATTGTTTATTTCATCAAGTCTAACATTACCTAATTGTTGCTCTGCTATCAGGAACCTTGATTGAATGCGAAGGGTCAGAAGCCAGGATAGACTTCAAGGCTTTGACCCCGAACCTGAGAGAACATTACATAAGAGTTTGAGGGAAGCAAGAGAGACAAATAATCTTCAGGAACTTGTTCAATTTCCTGTAAACATGGCAGAGGAGCAGCATATTGCGGTTCAGGAGGTGGCGATGCCCAGCATTGCTAATGTCACCTCCAGCATTGCGAAGCCCAGAATCATTGGGCACTTTGAGCTGAAATAGAGCATGATCCAGCTACTTCATGCGAATGGGCAGTTTATGGGTCTTCCACACGAGGATCCACAACAATATATCCTGAACTTCTTGGATATTAGTGATACTTACATCACTAACGGAGTCACTCTAGACTATGTGAGCCTCACATTTTTCCCATTCTCTCTATTGGGCGAAGCAAAGTGATGGCTGAAGGCAGAACCATCTAATTCTATTGCAATATGGAATGATCTGGCAAGGAAATATTTGGCAAGGTTCTTCCCTTTAAGCAAAACTACAAAGAATAAAAGTGAGATAGTTACCTTCAAACAGAAATCGGGGGAGTCTTTATACTCAGCTTGGGAGAGGTTCAAAGGGTTGCTCAGAGACTGTCCTCATCACAATCAGACAAACGAAGTGTTAGCTCACACTTTCATAGAAGGGCTACATCCTGAGACAAAGATTGTGGTAGATGTTGCAGCTAGAGCTCAAGTGTTGGAGAAAAGCTTCGATAAGATATATGCATTATTGAAAAAATTCTCCAAAAGTAATCCTGATTGGCAAGGAGAGATGGGCAGACACACAGTGCAAAAATCAGCAGGGGTTCTCGAGTTAGATGCCGTCTCTGCATTATCAGCGCATATTTCCATATTGACCAACCAAGTCAATTAGATGACCTTGGTTATTAACAAGCAACAAGCACAGCCAGTGCAACAGATTCAATTATTTTGTGAAGTGTGTGGAGAGTGTCACACAAGCTACTTATGCCCAGTTAATCCAGAGTCTGTCTGTTTTATGGGTAATGCAAATAGGGGCTAGACAAACCAGTATGAGAACACTTACAATCCTAACTAGAGGAACCACCCAAACTTCTCTTGGGGTTGGAAACCAAGGTGCTCAGAATTAGTATAGGCCACAAGCACCTCAACAACAATATAGACCACCTCAGGTTAAACAACATGCAAACTCGACGAGTCACCTTGAGAAGATGATGAAAAGATTTATGGCTGACCAGCAGGCCCAAGCAATATAGATGATGAAGAAATTAATGACTGACTATCAGGCCCAAGCAGCAACGATGAGAAATTTGGAGCGACAAATGGGACAACTTGCCAGTGCCCAAAATACTCAACCAGCTGGGGCTCTTCCTAGTGATACGGAGCCTAATCCTAAAGCTCAAGTCAATGCAGTTACCTTGAGAAATGGAAGAGTATTAGAAGAAGTTCTAAGGAAAAAGAAGTATACGGCTAGTCCTGATGGAGAATTAGTTCCCAAGCCAGTTGAGGAGAATGAGAAAGAGAACAAAGGATCAGAGCTAGTAATTATGACGAGGCCACCACCTCTGTTTCCACAAAGACTGCAGAAGCAAAAAGATGACGCTAAGTACAAGAAATTCTTAGATATTCTGAGCCAAGTACGTGTGAGTTTGCCTTTGGTGGAGATTTTGCAGGAAGTGCCTAAGTATGCAAGGTATCTCAGAGATATTGTGGCAAACAAGTGAAGACATACATAGTTTGAAATAGTTGTACTTACTGAAGAGTGCAGTGCTAGAGTTCAGAGTAAGCTTTCTCCTAAGTTGAAGGATCCTAGGAGTTTCACAATTCCTCTGTATCTTGGAAAACAAGAAGTTGGTAGAGCCATATGTGATTTAGGGGCTAGTATAAATTTGATGTCATCATCTTTGTTCAAGCAACTCGGATTAGGGGTGCTTAGACCTACTACAATCACTTTACAGTTGGCAGATAGGTCACTAGTTATGCCAAAAGAAATTGTTGAGGATGTGTTAGTTCAAGTAGGAAAGTTTATTCTTCCTGCTGATTTTGGGGCGACCATTCTTAACTACTGGTGGAGCGATTATTGATGTGAGGGAAGGAAAGTTGACGGTGAGTACATCACTTTTAATGTGTATAAGGAACTTAAGCTCCCTAAGCATTATGAGGACTTATACATGATTACTATGGTAGAATTGAAGGGGATAGAGCAGAGTTCTTATGTGAATTGTAGTGATCCGGATGGGACAACTGAGTTAGAGAAGGTGGTATTGCAAGCTGAGTGTGTAAAGATAATTGAGAAAAGAGCCAGAGAGGAAAGATGAGATCTTCTGAGAGCGTGCAAAAAGGCTAGACTTCATGGGAGAAAGAAGAAGAGAAAGCGCCCATCCTGAGCAGAGTAGTAGAGTCGTGCCACGACTATAAATAAGGCACTTGTTGGGAGGCAACCCAGCCTGTATTTTATTTTTATAGTGTCAAGTTTTGTGTTGTTTTTATTTTGTAGAGTAGGAGAAGTCTGAGTACCCGAAGTTGAAGCTGAGTAGCATGTTTAATCTTAGGTGTGGGGTCGTTCCGACCCTTAATATTGAGGATCATGTGCGAGTTAAGCCCGAGAGGGTCTCAGGGAGTATTTCTCACCCTTATTTAATATTTTTCTCCGTGATCATGCATCGAGGACTATGCATAATATAAGTGTGGGGTGGGAGATTATTTTCTGTGTAGGGTAATTGTATAAACATTGTTATTATGATTCTTTTAGCGTAGATGTCACAACCCGAAATTCTCACCTTCGGAACCGTGATGGCGCCTAACATTTCACTTGCTAGGCAAGCCAACGTTAGAATATAACTAGCCATTTTTTTAAAAAATAAATTAATTAATAATAAGGAAACAAATGCGGAAATATAGTATGAAATAAAATGAATAATCCATAATAATCGCGATATCTAAACACTATCCCAGAACTAGAGTCACAAGTGCACAAGCTTCTAGAACAATACAAATAAAGGTCTCAATAAAATTCAAGTTATTTGAAATATAATATACAACTGAGATTAGATAGAAGGGGACTTCAGAACTACGAACATTGTACAATTATACCTCAAGTCTCCACTGGTAGCTGTAGCTGGTCAAATCTACAGTACGCCGCTGGGACCAACTCCGAAATCTGCACAAGAAGTGCAGAGTGTAGTATCAATACAACCGACCCCATGTACTGGTAAGTGCCTAGCGTAACATCAACGAAGTAGTGACGAGGCTAAGGCAGGTCACTTACATTAACCTGGACACAATAATAATAATAATAATAATAATAATAATAATAATAATAATAATAATAATAATAATAATAATAATAATAATAACGGGAATAGTAATAAGACCGGTAAATAATATCAATAATTGAAGTCAATTCAGCAGCCACAATCCTTCAACTTATTTCCATTGCGGCGTGCAACCCGATCCCCCAATATAAACTTAGAATAAATCTGTTGCGGCGTGCAACCCGATCCCCCAATATAAACTTTTAAATAAATTTATTGTGCCGCGCAACCCGATCCCCCAATATAAACTTTAAATAAATCTATTGCGGCGCGCAACCCGATCCCCCAATATATTTAACAACTCTTAAATGTAATAAAAATACTCCATTAAATACCACGTTCAATGAGAAACTATTAAGCAATAAGGCATACCATAATTATAATTTATTTATGAAACAAACAATGACAAGTAGCAATTAATTGTGGAAATCAGGGAGAAAATAGGCAGTTTAATATTTAATATGCTAAATGTCAAGTAGCAATTAAGACACATAAATCAAATAAGCATGTAACAATTATTGCAGGAATTCAATGCATTATATTGAGCATGGAATATGAGAGAAATAATTAATATAATAATTAATTCATGTCTTAAAACAATTTATGATTTCAAATAATTATGCAAATAATTAATTTGATGACGTATAGACACTCATCACCTCGCTTATACGTCGTTCACATGAATTTCAGAGAACAAATCATTCAAGGGTTCTATTCCCCCAAGTCAAGGTTAACCACGACACTTACCTCGCTTTGCAACCAAATTCAAGAATCCAATAAACCTTTGCCTCACGAATTCGTGTCTGAAATCCTCAATTCTAGTCATAAACAATTTAATATACTCAATACAAATCGTAGAAATTAATTCCATATGAATTTACAAATTTTTCGGATTAGAATCCAAAATTTATCTTATAAAATCAACAGTAGGACCCACGTCTTGAATCCCGAAAAAACTTACGAAATTCGAACACTTGTTCCAATACGAGTTCAACCATACAAAAATTATCAAATTCCGATGTCAAATGGACCTTCAAATCTTAAATTTTCGTTTTTGGGAAATTTTACAAAAATTTTAATTTCTTCCATCTAAATCCGAAATAAAGGATGAATATAGACATGGATTTATGAAATATAATCACTATATGATAAAGAACACTTACCAATTCGAAATCGTGAAAAACTTCTTTGAAGTCGCCCCTAAACCGAGTTCTAAATCGTGGATAATGAAAATGGGACGAAATCCTATTTTAGGTATGTTTTAATTCACTGGCGTCAGGCCCTCTTCGCGTTCGCGAAGGGCCTATCGCATTCACGATGTGCAGGAGCCCAAGTGGCCTTCGCGTTCGCGAGTCCTCCCCTGCGTTCGCGAAGGTTGCTTCATCTGGCCTTCGCGTTCGCGAGCCAATACTCGCGTTCGCGTGGAAGAAACAACGATTCCCCCTCCTCAGGTCACAAGCCTACGCGTTCGCGAGATGCTGGTCGTGTTCGTGAAGGGTAAGACCCCCATTGCTCCGCGTTCGCGACCTATCTATCGCGTTCGCGATGAAGAAAATTCCCCTGTCCCAAACTCCCCTTTGCGTTCGCGAAACACACGACACCGAAAACCAGCAGAAGCACAAAAAAACAGATTTTTTAAGTTTCAAAACATCCGTAGCCTATCCGAAATTTACTCGAGCCCTCGGGGCTCCAAACCAATTATGCACACAAGTCCAAAAACCACTTACAAACTTGCTCGCGTGATCGAAATGCCAAAATAATGCCTAGAACTATGAATCGGACTCCAAATCAAATAAAAAAATTTAATAAAACTTTAGAACTTCTATTTTTACAACCGGACGTCCGAATAACAACAAACAAGCTCCGTTTCTCACCAAATTTGGCAGACATGTCATAAATATAGTAATGGAACTATACCGAATTTCGGAACTAAAATACGGACCCGGTATCAACAAAGTCAAACATTAGTCAAATCTCTTAAGTCATTAAACCTTTAAACTTAAAAATTTTGACAACATGCGATAACTCGAGTTAGAGACCTCCAAATTAAATTTCGGGCATACGTCCAAGTCCCAAATCACGATACGGACCTACTGAAACTATCAAAATACTGATCTGATTCTGTTTGCTCAAAATATTGACAAAGTCAACTTAGTTGAGTTTTAAGGCTCTATTTCTTATTTTAATTAATATTTTATATAAAAAATTTCCGAAAAATTATACGGACAGCGCACGCAAGTTGAGGAACGATGAATAGTGTTGTTTGACGTCTCAAAACACAGAAATAATTATTAAATTTAAATATGACCTTTTGGGTCATCACATTCTCTACCTCTAAAACAAACGTTCTTCCTCGAACGGAATTAGAAAAAGTACCTGAGCTGGTGAAAAGGTGTAGATATTTACTCCACACATCTGACTCGGACTCCCAGGTAGATGCTTTCACCGGCTGACCTCTCTATTGCACCCGAACTGAAGGATAACTCTTAGACCTCAACTGTCGGACATGCCAGGCTAGAATAGTTATCAGCTCCTCTTCGTAAGTCAAATCCTTGTCCAATTGGACTGAGATGAAATCTAACACATGGGACGAATCATCATGATATTTTTGGAGCATAGACACATGGAACTCCGAATGAACCGCTGATAAACTAGGCGGTAATGCAAGCTTGTAGGCTACTTCTCCCACTCTTTCAAGAATTTCGAAGGGTCCTATATACCTAGGGCTCAACTTGCCCTTCTTTCCGAACCTCATTACACCTTTCATAGGTGAAACCCGGAGCAATACTCTTTCTCCAACCATGAATGCAATATCACAAACTTTACGGTCGGCATAACTCTTTTGCCTAGACTGAGCTGTGCGAAGTCGATCCTGAATAATTTTGACCTTATCCAAGGCATCCTGTACAAAATCGGTACCCAACAACCGAGCCTCTCCCGGTTCAAACCAGCCAACTGGCGAACGATACCGTCTTCCGTATAATGCCTCATATGGAGCCATCTGAATGCTCGACTGGTAGCTATTATTATAGGAAAACTCCGCAAGTGGCAAGAATTGGTCCCAAGAATCTCCAAAGTCTATAACACAAGCGCGAAGCATATCTTCCAATATCTGAATAGTGCGCTCTGACTGTTCGTTTGTCTATTGATGAAATGCGGTACTCAACTCAACCTGCGTGCCTAACTCACGTTGTATAGCCCTCCAGAAGTGTGAGGTAAACTGCGTACCTCGATCTGAAATAATAGACACGGGCACACCGTGAAGGCAGACAATCTCACGAATATAAATTTCAGCTAACCTCTCTGAAGAATAGGTAACTACCACTGGAATGAAATGTGCCGAGTTGGTCAACCTGTCCACAATAACCCATATTGCATCAAATTTTCTCTGAGTCCATGGAAGCCCAACAACAAAATCCATAGTGATACGCTGCCACTTCCACTCAGGAATTTCTAACTTCTGAAGCAAACCACCTGGTCTCTGATGCTCGTACTTAACTTGCTGAAAATTCAGACACCGAGCTACATATGCAACTATATCCTTCTTCATTCTCCTCCACCAACAATGTTTCCACAAATCTTGATACATTTTGGCGGCACCTGGATGAATAGAATACCTGGAACTGTGGGCCTCTTCTAGAATTAATTCACGAAGTCCATCCACATTAGGCACACAAATACGACCCTGCATTCAAAAAACTCCATCTTCCCCCCCACAACAACCTGTTTGGCATCACCGTGTTGCATCGTGTCCTTAAGGACAAGTAAAT